TCATTCTGTAGGAGTGAATTAATCTTTCCAGCCAGTTCTCACCAGGATTTGATGAAGTTCCCAGGGCTGGCATCTACAGGGATTACTGGCTGTTGAACAATTTATTCACTGCTTCCTTGGCTCAGAATTGGCTGGACATAATTATCTTAAAGAGTGAGGTATGTCTGTGTTTGGCATTTCTAGGATATGAATGAACCAACAAACTTCATGAATGGAGCAGTTTCTCCAGGCTGCAGGGACGCCTCTCTGAACCGCCCTCCCTACATGCCACGTAAGAACCCTTGGTCTCCTTGACTGGCAGAGCTAGGACTGGAAGGATGACCACTGGAGGAGCCCAGAAGCCAGGGTTGTGCCTGCACAGCTCAGGGCACATCCTCATGGTTGCTGTGGTTTACTGGGGACCAGAGACAAAAACGCTGCACTTGCTTTACCCAGATGGGCATGTGCAAGTGATTAGATTCATTGAGCAAATTTCCTGAAATTTGTCCAGAAAGCACTTAGCAGTGCTCATGCCACAAAGGATTCTCACAACTAGGTTTCTTAGTTTTTCGGCTTGTGTGAATTCCATCACAGGAATTTCTAGTGTCATCAATGGGTGGGAATTATTGGCTTCCCCTTATGATGGAGCTGATGGACTTTGGAGTTACACTTGGGTTCATATCTTGGCTGGATTTCACCTCACCAGTTCTTCCTTCTCAGATTTGGAGTCCAGGGACAGGGGCCTGAGCAGCAAGACCCTGTGCATGGAGAGTCAGCAGATCCTCCCAGACGGCTCCCCGGTGCAGCACTACAACGTGCACAACCTGTACGGGTGGTCCCAGACCAGACCCACATACGAGTGAGTCTCTCCTTTTCCAGCTGTCTCAACCCAGAGGGATTGCCGCGGACTGACATAGCCACCCTAGTTTTCTTTCATTCCCATTCTAAGGGTTAAGAAGATTCTCATGACAACCGTGTAATGATTCTTATTAAACAAATACTCATTGACGTGGAGCCAGGCCCTCTGATGAAAAGGAGGAGGACAGATTTAAATAAGACATGGTCCCACCAGTGAAAAACTTAATGATCCTGGTGGGAACGACACACATAGAGACACCATAATGATCACACAGGGCAGCCGGTGGTGCAATAGTTTTAGTTACAGGAGGTGAAAGGAACACAGAGACTGGGCATCTCTCGCCTTTATTTCAAAAGTGAATCATATTTTCAGATTTTTATTTTTGGCCATTCTTGGTGGAGGGTAACTGTTATTCTATGAAATTAACACAGTCCCCTTTGCAAGCTCAACGAATGGTATGAATTCTTCTAAGGACAGTCTCATGATATTCACTGTGTTCCTCCTCAAATATAGAAAACTACGTATTGAGGAAATCAATAGCAAGATTTAGTAAAACCTTACTATTTTTGGCCACTCCAGTGAGTTTGCTACAGTGAAGTTCTTTGTAAAGCACTGTGAGAACACGTGACTCGTTATCTCCATTATCTGGGATCAGTGGGGCCCCCATTGCAGCTCAGATTCCCATGTTCCCTCCAATCACGCAGCAAACATTGACTAGGCTCAAGGGCTCTGGGAGCAGAAGCTCTCTGGCCTTTGCTCCCTGACCATGCCCTCAGTTCACCTCCTGTTGCCCTCCAACCAGAGCCATGCAGGAGGTGACAGGACAGCGAGGGGTCCTCATCAGCCGCTCCACATTTCCGTCTTCTGGCCGCTGGGCAGGACATTGGCTGGGAGACAACACGGCCGCGTGGGATCAGCTGAAGAAATCTATCATTGGTGCGTGGCTCCTTCCCAGGACCTGTGCCGGTAGGGCAAGGAGTTGGGATCTTTGGGGAAGAGGTGAGGAGGCGGGTGGTGAGAGCCTGGTGTGACACTGCTGTGCTTCTCATTGCAGGCATGATGGAGTTCAGCCTCTTTGGCATATCCTATGTGAGTGTCCTTGGGATCCTCCTAAGCACCAAGAAGGTGGGGACATCTTTCAGAAATCATCAGCAGGCTTGTTTTGTTTTCTCTTGTTTCAGACAGGAGCAGATATCTGTGGATTTTTTCAAGATGCTGAATATGAGATGTGTGTTCGCTGGATGCAGCTGGGGGCCTTTTACCCCTTCTCAAGAAACCATAACACCATTGGGACCAGGGTAGGACAGTGGCTTCTGCCTCCAGTGTCGTGTGTCACTAGAAATACAATCTCCATTTCTGAGCTAAAATTAACGCAGTTTGTATTTCTTGGGATATCTTTTAAAAAATTGTG